AAGTCCATTAAAACCCCGAGCAATAACTGCTTTTTAAGTAATCATTCCATCATTTTTTATGCAGCATGTTTCAAGAGAAATAGCTTTTATTTTTTTTTTCCTCCACAAAGGTGCTGAACTAAAGAGCAAAGCAGCCTTTCTGTGAGAGGTTTAGGAAAGCAGTGTTTGCTGGATGGCACTCGTACCCCCTCCCCATCCCATTAAGATGTCTAGTTGTCACTCTCTTAGTCGCTCACCTTGGGTAAAGGACAGTACTTCTGTTGAAGGATACTGGATGCAAGATCCTCATCCCTCTTCCAGTTTGGGATAGCACAGCTTGCATGAGTATTGCATGAGGTCCCTCATGCCTATTAGATTTATTAAACTTATTTCAATGACGTAAGCTAGCAGTGATGCGGATGAACCTACCTTTCAAAGTGTTTTGTGCCTTAGTCTCTCATTTGCTTGAGTGGAGATAATGAGATTGGGTTCTGTAAGAAAAAGAAACCTTTTGGTCTCGGTGCAGGATTGTACTTGTATCCATACATTCTGACTATTCACTATCTCATAGTAATGATTTAAAATACTGTATCGTTTCTCATGCAATGTATTTCCTACTGCGTTTCTGTTTCTGATCACAATTCTTGTAAGAAAAAGTCCATTTATAGTAGGAAAATGCACAGCCAATGATAAACACATAACCAATTGATTTTTCCTGAACTAGTCAGCTAGAACTGAAAATATTTTAATTGCTGATTTAGCAGCAGAAGAAACATTATTCCACATTTTACTGTTATTGCTAGCACCCTTTTTGTAGTTGGGTAGCTATAAAGACCATTCTTGCCTGGCTGAGGTGGCCCAAAAGCTCCTTTTTGCTGGCAACTATGTATGGCAGTTACTGTTGCTGACAACTGTGCTCATTGAGGTCAGTGGAAAGACTCCCATGACTTCACTGAGATTGGAAATTGAGAAACCAAATCTAAGTTTGGATGCTTCTGCGACATCATAGTGCATTGTCATTGAATCATTCAGCTAAACCAGTAGGTATTTTAATGTTTGTTATATGGTTATACTTGATTTTATGAAGACTTAACACTAATTGCAAAACAAATATTCTCCAGGCAGAAAAACTGCACAGAGTCAGACCCACAGTTCTTTAAAACCAGTGATGTTTTTCCACTGAGTTAGTGCTGACAGAATAAGAATGCAAACTAATGCAGATGATCATTAAATTGCCATGTTCAATATATCTCTTGTCAACTTTTCATACTATATTTGCTTTTAGAATAAAAGCAAAATTGTTCTCAAAGCAACTGTGAAAACAGGTGGACATTAATTAGAATCTTTTAGGCTGAAAACAACAGGATCACATATCAGAAGGATCACATATCAACACGTGAAACTTGCAGCATGCCTACAGAAATACTGTAATGAGGGACCTGATAAGTTATGCCTGGAGTGATCAAAAACTGCCACGCTCCATGCTGACTTTCAGCATATGTTGTTATTAAAGTGAATACCATCTTATAAAATATGCTTGCGTTTTTGTAACCAAAAAGGATTCTGAAATGGCAAGTTTGGACCCAGACTTCACATTCTGGCAGTGCTTGGATCTGTTTGTTGTGACATGTTCATTGCTATTTTTAACTTATGTAATAAGAATTTAATCTTATTTGTTACAAACTCCATTATACTGAAGGCATTCAAAAAGCTTTATAGTACACAATAAATAACACTAGTCAGTAGCTTACAAGCACTGCATTTTTTTTTCCCTCCAGAATGCTACCAGATATGTCAGAATACACATTTTGGATTGTATGCGAATGAAATACAAATAAAGTCGTGAAACTACAAAAGAAACTCTAGAGATGGTATTTTCAGTAGTGCTGCTATAACAATATGGAAATATTTTGTGATGAAAGGTTACTTAAGTAGACATTCAAAATATAAAACATATTCTTTAGAAAAATAGTATTTAAGTGCCAAGTAGAAATTGAAGTCCATATCCCATCTACTTCCCACATACAATTCAAAAGCGGGGTGTGAACTACTGGAAACAAATTTTAAAAAATCACTGAGCTGACTACACCATATTTGCTTCTGTTGTGCAACCATTGTACTCCACAGCAGTCCCATGATTTTTGTTATTTGTGGAAAGGATGGGGTGAGGTCAGAAATGTGCAACCCTCTTTTCTAACTTGCTTGTGACTCTAAAATTGGTTTGAAGTGACAGAGCAGGGAAGAATGCAGGCAAGTGAGTGAACGTGATTTTCAAGTTCAGCACAAGTACATAAAGCTAAGTATACATTATATCGCAAATAACAGCCTGTTTGGTTATGGAAGTAAATAGAATCTAGTGGCAAATCTGTGTGTACTTATGAAAATTCCTAAGATGTGTATGCCAAGAAGTTCCTAATTCAGAAGTTGGCATGGCTCCGCAAGTAAAGCGGATACCTGTGGTTCTTGTGTACTGCCTACAAATTTAAATTCTGCATATCTGTTCTCCTTTATTCTGGTTTTGCTCTAAGCTCCCAATTTTGATAGGCCTACCACAAAAAAACCCCCCAGGCTTTCATGTATCTTTATTCTAATTGTAATTATAACTCTGTCAACTGTCTTCCTTATTAGCCGAGATGCCCAGACAGTTTCCAAAGCTGAACATCTCTGAGGTTGATGAGCATGTGCGACTTCTGGCAGAGAAGGTATTTGCTAAAGTCCTCCGAGAAGAAGACAGCAAAGATGCCTTGTCACTATTCACTGTGCCTGAAGACTGCCCTATCGGACAGAAAGAGGCCAAGGAAAGGGAACTGCAGAAGGAACTGGCAGAACAGCAGTCTGTGGAAACAGCTAAAAGGTTTGTTCAGTAGTTGCTTGCTACTATAGGTTTTTTAATGAGTTTAAGTTAATATTGAAATACCTGGCAGGTAACATTCTGCCCTTTACTACTTCAGGAGAAAGGTCAACAGCAAGTAGCAAGGGTGCCGGTGTGATGCCCTTCTGTGCTATGCAGAAGGTGTGCGGATGGGCCCTAGGGAGCTTGGATTGTCTCAGCTGTGTTTCCAGCAATAGCATAGATAATGCATATGCAAGATTAACAGACAGCATAGCTGGGTAGAAGTGAACACAACCAACCCTAAGACTTTTTAATGCAAAAAGAGTCAGAAAAAGAAACACTTTGCCCCCCTCATGCTTTATTCTAGTTTAGTTCAGAGAAACAGAAAATTTTAACAGAGAAAGTGACAGTGGTACGATACTTCTTTTAGTCTCTCTAAAAATAGATGAAAGCAAAGACTTGACATTTAACATCAAGGGAGAAGGTAAAAGATGATATTGGCATAATGAAGTTATTCGTAGGTTTCCTTAACTCACAGAAATAAAATCTAACCCCTATCAGCCATAAAAGTGCACATTTTGAATTTTCTTAAAGAAAATTAAAAAATACAATCTACCTTTGATTTATCCATGAATCTAATGAAGCCAGACTTGATCTGGTTTATGATTTTCTAGTGTAAGAGAAAAGCCTTACCCTAATGTCAGGTAATGCCTGTTCTAGTATCTTAGCTTCAGTGGACTGGCTAAACTGTTTCCTAGAGTGATGTGAGCTCAGCAGCAGCCTGGCACCAAATGGCTTGGCTGTGTACAGACTCTTCAGAAAGCAGGCAAACAAGGAAGCCTTTGAAAGTGATAGCTAAACGCATGTAGCCAGTTAGCTGGGTAATGCTTAGCATCGTATTTCTGGAACATAAGGGAGAAGAGTCAGTTTAGTTAAATTAAGGTATGACACACTGATGATACAGGTTTTGAATTGTGTAAGTGAGTTTCCCCACTTTTCATAGACATAAACACAGAAGGGAAAACTAGATGTTTTCATGCAAACAACTATTTGGTATATTCCTCCTGAACTAATAAGTTTCACTTTTTTGGAAATTGTCTTACAGAAATATGTTCTGTCAAACTGTACCTCAAGTTTTGCACAAGTTTAACTGGGGGAGGTGGGATATGTGCATGTCACTTGTGTGGGAGCAGAACAAGTATTCATCCCTGTCTTGGAAGACTTGAGCATGCTTCAAGGACAGTTACATGAGTAAAACTTCTGTTGTTTTCAGTAGCAGTTGATCCAATACTGCCTTTCAGGAATTTAATACTGATTTCAAAGGTGGCTGCTAGAGACTTAAGAGAGGATGGAATGTGGTCATAGGGTATTAATTGTACCAGTGCTGCAAGTTCTTATTCTTCAATGTCACAGAAGTAATACACAACTTCTCGAGAATATTGCAGTATTTTTTTTTTGTTCTTACTAACATTTTAAGGTTTTGGCATCTAGTTTATAAAACAAGGAAGTATTTCCACAGTGCAAAAGACAGTGATGTCACAGGCAGTTAATAACAGTATGTTTATTTATTATATGAATATTTAAAACATATTTAAATAAATTTAAACTGAGTAAGGAAAATTAATTAAATCTTTAGAGGTATTCCAAAACTTCCCTTGAGGTATTACAACTAATTGACTGAAGAATACAGCATTCTTTTTTAGCTGGTTTGTCAGAGGTACACATCTATCACAGTTTTGCCAAGAAAGGGCAAAGGTTTTTAAATCTAAGGGGGTTAGCTGTTTAGTGCCCTGAGGGGAGGAATGGACTTGTGCATCAAAGCGGTGCTATGTTATTACTCTGATAACCAACCAGCTCTGATAATCAGCCTTTTGCTCAAGTCTCATCAAACGCTGCCTAAGGAATAAATATGTACTCATCCTTTTTCTTACAAGTTTAACTGAATGACTGTATGTGAAATTTTGAGGCATAGTCTTGTCTGACAACTAGATGAGTTTTTAAATCCTGCACGTTTTGGGAAGAATGAACAGTGTGTGTAATAGCACAATAATTTATAACAACTTTCCATATGTAACATTCACTTGTTTCTGTCTGGTACTTTGTGAATTCTGGTATTACCAGTCTCTAAGAATCGCCTCCAACTAAAGCACAACACATTTTCATTCTGTGCAGTGACTTGCTAAAGCTGAATTTGTAAGAAATTAAACAAAACAAACCTTAGGGCATCTTGCAGTGACTGCGAATAAGTTATGGCATATTGTATTTGTGTGGAGGCTAAGGGCAATTGTGTGTAGCATATATAATGTGAAATGTCAGTAGAAAAAAAGCTAAAAGCACAAATATTTTGTGACCAACATTTTTCCTGTGGTACAAGAGATTTAATTTGTAAAATGTCTTGGGGGGTGATTTCTTTGCTGTAATCTGTTTCCCAGCACATTTAATGTTTTATACCATGCCTTATTTTATGCTTTTTGCCATGAATTTGTAGGAAGAAAAGTTTCAAGATGATTCGATCCCAGTCTTTGTCATTACAAATTCCATCTCAGGAATGGAAAGCACCATCAGCCAATCCTGTTATATCTCCTGGAACACCAGTTCTTCCAAGTGCTTTTCTGCCAGTCCAAGTGCCATACGATGTACCAGAGTTTCAGAGAGTTTCAATTAGTGGGGACTACTGTGCAGGGGTAAGAAACCATTTTTTTTCCTCCTGTTCTGTATCTGAGGGGGACACATCTCAAACCACATGCAGCTAATGTATATAAAGTCTGAAATGCCAGTATATTACATCTCTCTGCAAAAAACTGTAGATTTCTTTGTCAACATACTGATTTGTAAAACAGTTAAAGTGAAGGCCAGGTCTTTTTATCATAAAAAATAAATAGATAAAACCATAATTGGGCATTAAATAAATGGGTAATATATGGTAAGAGGAAAAAAAGCTGTGTGTGTGGTTTGCACATTGTATTTGGACTCTCCTTGCATCACTGAAACCTTGGGTAAGAGCCATATGGTCAAACCACATACGCTTACATTTCTGGAAATTCAGTCTCCTTGTTACCGGCGTGGATTCAGTTTGTTGCTAAAACTGCTGTTTTATTTTTGTCAGTATTTATCTAGGCTTTCCTTTCAGGTTACAGTGGATGATTACGAACAAGCTGCCAAGAGCCTGGTGAAAGCTCTTCTCATTCGAGAAAAGTATTCACGTCTTGCCTACCATCGCTTCCCAAGAACAACATCTCAGTATTTGTGTAGCATGCAAGATGAAAAATGGAAAGTTGAAGATGAAGTGTATCCAGGTGAATCAACTTGTTCTTCCTTTTAAATATAGAATTAAACCCATGCACTGCTGTAGTGAAAGGCAAGTTGGATTTTTGTGATGATCTCTCCTGAGTGTCTTTGTAATTTATTCTGTCAGTGGTGAAGAATCACTGACAGACGTAAGTTATAAAACCTGTGTCTAATCTGAAACAGAATCTCTCAAAAGGTAAAAAACCCCCAAAAACAAAACTCAAAAAACCCATGTTAGATGGTCATTGACTATTTTGTTTTTTTTGCAGGAAATGGGATGGTAAGTAGTGCATTTGTTTTTCCAGGAAAAAGATATATGGATATGGTTTGAAGTGAAAAGTAATTTCTTCTGATCTTGGCATGCTGAAATAAAAGGGACAGGAAAGGTGTTTTGGAACAGCTGCCGGGGAGATATAGCCAAGCTATTACTCGGTTGATAACTTTTGTACAGTTATGATTTTAAACTTACAACATAAACAGTAAAATCTTATTACACAATGTCTTAATTAGCACAAGTTTGAGCTGGATAGTTATGAATATTAGAGATAAGAATGGTACCAGTTTATAACACACATTCAGGTGCTCTAGGTGAATAAAAGGACTGGTTAATTACTTTTCTATCTTGGCTTAATGGAACAGGTAAAAGAAGATATCTCAGTGATAAGACTGAGCCCAAGAATGTACTTCAATTGACACAAATGTACGCTTATTTTATGCTAGTTGCATTAGTAAGATACTAATGTAAGAGAAGTGATGAACATTCACTTGCACAAGTGGTAATGTCTGAGTGTTACAAAGTTGGTTTTTTTTCCCCCTGAGAATTGGGTTTAGGGATTACAAAACTGTACTGAACAAATCCCAACCACGCTCCTGGTACTTTCTGATCTCGATCATTGTCAGGCAGCCAAGGGGAAAACTAGAGTTGTGTTGCACTACCTCTGGCTTTTGTACTTCTTCATTCTATTCAAAAGCAATTAAACATAAAAATAAGGAGTTTTTAATAAAACTCAAGAAAATCAACAACCCCCCCCAACACAAACAAAACACGAATTTAAAAAACCACCACTCAAAACACAACAAAACCAACCAACCAACCACTGGTCAGGGTGAGAAGCACTGAGTCTTAAATTATTTCCTGCTTTGCTATGAGTGAAGTACGATCACTAATGGTTGAGAGAAAGAGGAAGCAGTCGTGGTATGTATGCACTAGTCTAGCTCACTGGATTGTAGGAAGGGCGGAGGTGAAAAAGTAAGGCACAGCCTTACTGTTCTTTTGTGGCTGATGTTTCAATATGCATTACTGTGTACCTAAATACAAACTTCCAAAATTACTACAGTGAGTCAGAAGGTGAAAAGAAAATAATGAAGGTAGGTATGAAGTCAACAACTGTTTTACTGTTTAAAAATCTTAACTGTACTTTCAACCATCCTAATTTAAATAATTATGGAAACTTATTGTGAAACTTGCACCATTGTACATTAAAAAAGAATAGTATTAAATATATTTATACATTGGTTCAGAGACCTCTAATAAGGTATAATATTTGAATTAAGGTAGGCAACTAGCTTAGAGATGGACTACAGTTAAAGCCTGTCAGAATAAAGCATGTTGTAACAACAGATCTTTTATAGTAACTGAAAGTGTCATCTTAATGAAAGTATTAAAATTTGTTAGAAATGAAGCATTATAAGCCAGAAAGTAATTTTTGTAATTAGGTTGCCTTTTGTCTAAATTATTTCCTCTAAAAGTAATGTAAATTTATTTTTAGATTTCCACTCGCCTCCAGAAGAAAATGAAGATCCTTACAATCTTGATGATGCTCCAGACAATTTGGATTACGTTATCAAGATAAAAGGTGGCATTCCTTTTGTTTATGATAACAAAGAAATGATGGAACTCAATGAACCTCGGAGTCTGCCATATCCTGACCTGGAGACGTATACTCTTGACCTGAGCCACGTTCTTGCTCTAATTGCAGATGGTCCAACGTATGTTTCTCTTGCTTTCTCCTCTGCCCCTTCAGGCTGCTGGTTACCTTTAATGGAATACTTCTTACTTTTGTGATAATTAATTCCTCAACATACTCATTCATCCTACAGTAATGTTTTGGTTTGCCTCTCTCAAGCATTAATGCATCATGAAAGACTTAAAAGGAAAAAAAACCCCACATACAGCTATATTTTATTTCTTTAGTTTCTTTGCATCAACCATGGCAAAATGAGAAGCAGTTAAAAGAAAAGCAAGAAACTGGCCAAATGTTCCCATTCCAGTAAAATGCCCAGACTTTCTGAGGCATAGGAACTGAAACTCGAACCTTACCTTTTTTGCTTTGGCCTATGTTGAGTTTATGGTTTTTGAACAGTTGTTCAGAACAGTTCTACTCTTGCTGCATGAAGAGAAACCCTGCATATGTAGAATATACAGAATAGCTCAGCAGCATAAATATTCAGTCTGATTTGTTCCGGATGTGAATTAACTGCTCATGCCCTGCAAAACTGATCCACGCACGCACAATCAAAATGAGCCTGAAATTTCCCAGAACCATCAAACTCCTGGAAAATATAACAACTGTAGTACACTCACTGACACACTTGTGATGAAGCAATGCGCTTGCCCGGTGCATAATGAAAACACACCTCCAGTTTTTAACTTTACTTCCCAGGTGAGGACTGGAAACATCATGTCCTCAACACCAGGAAAGGAAAGAATCCATGCTAGGATGGGCAATGCAGGAACCTGGACTGTTCTTCCAAACTATTTGTCCTGCCTGCCAGCTCTGCATTCCTAGTCTTTCCGCCTTGGAGAGATCATCACCATGTGACAAGTTAGTCACACCTGATGCATTTTTTCTCCTTTGAGCCTGTGTCTGACACCTGCAGCACATTCTGTCTGCCTTGTGTGTTGATAGTGGCAAAGCAGATGGGCTGAATGGAACTGTCCCATTCCCTAAGCACTTTTTCAAGAGCAAAAGCCTATGCTTTCGCCAGCATTATCAGCCCTCCTGCTCCAAATCAAAGCTAGCTTGAGTATGCCTTTTTACAGTATGCAATGGGTAAATGCATTTCCAGTTTGTGTTATATTCTAAGAGACAGGTATTGAGAAGATTAAGGAACAAGGAGGAAAAGCCTGAAACAAAAGTCGTACTGAAGACTCTTCTTTTTGCAGCTTTTGTTAACAGTCTTTATCAGGAAGCCATAAGTAAGAGGGGCCTTGGTAGGACATGTTAGAGCACTCAGCACCTTTGTGAAGGTAGGAGCAGTCATCTGCTCCTTTCACTTCTTCAGATTAAGCTTTTACAGGCTGATTCACACTCCCTGATAAATATACATGAACTAAAAGGAAAAAGTCTTCTCAGTAATCCTGTTGCATAAGTTCTTCATATGGTATTGTTTCCCTGTGTGCAAGTGCTTTCCTGTCATTTGTCTAGCACACATGAGGCTGCTTGGAGGTCAAGAACCCATTGTTCTTTAATCTTTGCTGTTCTTAAACTGGTGAAATCTCACCCTTACTCCTCAGTCTTCCAGTCTCTTGAATAATAGTATATCCCAACAAAGACTTCCTGCAGAATGCAAATAGGCCTTGATCAGTATCAGATATAGTGAGACTGTGTTTGAATTGGACTTTCAAATCCACAATGGGATTTGTGTTCCATTGAGGAGGGATTGTCAAAAATAAAGCAGAAAAAAGAAGGCTATTACATTAGTAGTGCTACAAAAATATTGTAGATGCAGTATGAATTGACAGATGGTGAAGAGAAAAACCATGTCATTGGTTAAAAATAGAATGAGAAACATAACAAGATGAAAGTGAAGACGGAGGAGTAGGAAAGCAGGAACAAAAAAGCATGATTTTTCCAAGAAGAGGACAAGAAATTGTTTTGGAAAATAAGAATTTATACACAATATATGTGGTTTTAAGGCATAAAAAATGAAAGTACATTGGATTTTATCTTGGCTTCTCATTCACATTGAAAAAGCAAAATAAACTTTTGGGATTTTTTATTTTTAAAAATCCATAGTAAACAGATCTGGATTACGGGTTGTTTCTGTTGTATATATGAAGTGATCTGCTCTGTTTGAGGTGTAGTTTCAGAGTAATAGCCATTGACATCACATTTTATTGTAGGTTTTATGCTTTCTCAGGCCATCATTACTAAAAACTGCAGTTTATGCACAGATACAGTGATAACAATACTTGACAACTTAAAAGACATAACATGGTAATGTAGAGTTCTGAAACCGTATTGGATATTTGTTATTTGTTAACCAGTGGGATAAGAAGAATTGTCTTGGTCTTAATAAAAAAAAATAGTTTTTACAGTGAAAACTTTCAAGTTATTTCTGAACTTGAAATGCAAATAGTTTTAAGTTACAAGTTAATTTCTGTGTTTTCTTTTACAGAAAAACGTATTGTCATCGGAGGCTTAACTTTTTAGAGTCTAAATTTAGTTTACATGAGATGCTAAATGAAATGTCGGAATTTAAAGAACTAAAGAGTAATCCCCACCGAGACTTTTATAATGTGAGAAAGGTAAGTGTGAAAAGGATTAAAGGCATGATACTGATTTCAGCA